AACAGCTACATGTAAATTGTTATTATACATGTGTGTCGTTTGACATTGGTTTAAACAGGTTTGATGACTGAAAATATATACATGGCCTTGATATCTTATTCTAAGCGAATCGGGTTTTTCTGAAATCAGGCAGCCAAATGTCACACGAGAAGGTCGAAGAAGCCACCGATGCTGGTTCGGCCATTGGTGAAGGATATGGAATGCATGGATCCAAGTGGGTGGACATGTTTGTGCAAGAAATGGGAAGCGCAGTTGATGTTGGTGATGCTAGAATTCGAGCCGCAAGGATTTTAGAAGCTTTTGAACATAATGTAACTGTGCATTCAAGAGAATCAGAGGAGGTAGTGTGGAATTATTATCCATAGACTGTTCAATTTCCTTTTGATGAAGTGTAAAAGGTTAAATTTTCGTTTCTCTCCACATTATGTTGCAGTTAAAGCATGCTTCTTTGAAGGGGCATTTGCAAAGCTTGGTAAATGACAACCAAATTTTAAAGAGAGCGGTCGCCATTCAGCACGAGCGGAATCTTGAGCAAGAAGAGAAGACGAGAGAAGTCCATCAGTTAAAGCACGTCTTATGCCAGTATCAAGAACAAATTCAAAGTTTAGAGGTATGCAGATGTACTCCTTCATAGTTTTTTTTGCTTCGAGTTATCACGGCATGTGCTAAAATCCTTGCAATCGCTAACTTTTTTTTACATCATCGTCTTCATCCTTGTTAGTATGTTACTTATCTTTTGTTCCTAATAAACTTAGCTGTCCTGGTAATATTCTGGAATGTTAGAAGGCTACATTTTGTGAGATCCACATCCGTTGGAGAGGAGAACGAAGCATTCCTTATAAGGGTGTGGAAACCTCTTCCTATCAGACGCGTTTTAAAATCGTGAGGATGACAGAGATACGTAACGGGCTGTTACACATTTTTGTTATGTTATGGAGGAACGTAGTAATTCTATGACTCAATTTTTAACGTGCCTGTTGATTTTGTAATTCGAATTGGAATTTAAGTACACGCAAATGCATAGAATTAGAACACCATAGCCGGGGAATCATATAGACTCTGACTCGAAACAAGATTATATGAAGTTAAGACTGTTGAATATGCAGCTTATGATTCGAATAGTCAATAGTCCTCCCTCGTTAGTTGTTACTCGATCCAAGATTATTACGAGAAGTTATGCCAAAAATTTGCTTTTGTAATACATGCTACAAATTCTTATGTTGCTATGAATTGTCTTTGTGCAGGTAAGAAATTACACATTGAATCTCCATCTGCAGAGGGCACAATCTGTTTCAGGACACTTCCACCAAGACATATTTTAAGGTTGTTTTTGTTTCATTAATTTCCTCTATACGTAAACTTCTTTTCTTTGAGACCAGCATTGAGCTGTTGATGCCAACATATTATGAAGTCATTTTGGTTGTGATATTCAATCAAGCCAAACCCACTTTGGCTGTTCCTTGTGATGAAACTCAAGATGAAAAGCTATGAATTGTCTTCTCTTTAATGTTTTAATGCCACTCCTAGTTTATGCATTCATATATTTGATATTTTCCCTCTATCCTATGCTTTGAATTTCAACACGAAGATATTTTATGTCGATAAAACATTCTATTCTCGTTCTAAAGATTTATGGTTCGATGTCTTACCCTATGATTGTTCACTGATATTTGAATTCCTTATACTCGAACAACTTCTCTAAGTATTCGACTTATGTAACATTTTAGATTGTGTACATTTTTAATAAAACTAGCTTTTGTATTTTGTGGTCGAGCACGAAATTAAAATCTCCACCTAATCAAGTTAGTTAGGAGTAGCTAGTTATTCCTGGCTCACTAAGTGTGTGTGTAACTCAATTGGTTTTTGTGCATAATCTCGTGATCTTGATTGTTATTGAAATTGTAACGTCGTATAAATGAAATCCTATGGATTTCTATGGAATTTATAATATATGATTTAAAAAAATAAATGCAATAAAAATAAAAATATAAGAAGCACAATTTGATTATTTGACTTTTTGAATTTAGTTAATATTTGAACGAATAAAGTATATATAAAGCAAATAATTAAGATGACAAATTTAAATTAATATAATATAAAATGTCAAACGTGGCAGAAGAGGGTAAGATTGTAAAATTTGGGAACTGTAAATATCACAACAAGCAATGGAGTGTGGCTGTAAAGCATTCCCGCGCGCCGGTGCCGTTCTCCTCGATGAATTTCAAAACCTTCCCCAGAAAAAAAGAGCCAAAAACCTAATGTAAGCAAATCCCTCTCAAAATCTCAGGCGAATTTCGCAAACGCCATGGCTTCTACTCCAGAATTGCATCGACCAACAACCCCCATCAGCGACACCAAAATCCCCACCCGCGCTGCACTTTCTTACTTCCAGAAAACAGTAAGCGCTCCTTCAAACTTTCCTTCAATTACTTTTATTCATCTGATTCTGATTGTATGTCTAATTGATCGAAAAATAAGGTTTGTTTGCTCGATTGGTGGTTAATCAGAGCTGAAAATGACTCCAATGAGAAATCGCTTGCCGTCGCTGGGCTAACATCCACACCGTAATCATACTTTGTCTCCCGTTTTGGGGTTTTCTTTGTGATTCTCTCTGTTTTCTTTCACATCTTGCATCTATCTGTTGCCATTTCGTGAAGCGACTCGAGAATTTCTTCTGGGGGTTTCTTTCTAGACTGTTTTTCTTTATTGGCTTGTTTTAGGGGACAACCTGTTCGAGTATTTTCTTCTGCTCCCATTGTTAAGAGATTCGATGTTTTCACTCTGGAGACTGCTGATGGGATCTGTGTTGTTCTTAAGGGTTTCATAAACAAACTTCGTACTACTGATAATGGCTTCACGGCCGAGGTTTGGATGTCAAATAAGCTACTGCTAAATTTGTGGTTATTTGATTTCCACTTGTTTCCTATATTTCCTGGTGCTTTCATTTGGGTTTGATGTAGCTTTCACTATAAACAGGTTTTCAAGCATTTTGTGTTTGGGTTTCCTCCCAACTGGGAAACTTATGCAGCAAATTGCTTCCAGGGAGAAGCTTTTGATAATACTGCTGCTAGGGGAAATATTTCTGATACAGACAGTTTGCGTTGTAGATCGAAAAGTAAGTGCATTTTCAAATTACTATTGGTAGATAAGCGCATGTGGGACACTCTTCTTGTTGGGCTCATGTCATGTCAAACACTTGTTAAGCACAATCGATCTTGATTAAAAGGTCCAAAGTTCTTCCCAGTAATCTATAACAACCCATATTCTTCTCTTTGAGCTTTCCCTTCCGGGCTTCCCCTCAAGGTTTTAAAACGTCCACTAGGGAGAAGTTTTCATACCCTTATAAGGAATGTTTTGCTCCCCTCTACAACAATGTGAGATCTCACAATCTACCCCTTGAGGTTTCCACACCCTTATAAGCAATATTTTGTTCCCCTTTCCAACCTATGTGGAATCTCACGATCCACCTCACTTGAGGGTCTAGTGTCCTCGTTGGCACACCACCACCCGATGTCTGGCTTTGATACCATTTTTAACAGCCTAACGGATATTATTCTTTTTGGACTTTCCCTTCTAGGCTCCCCCTCAAGGATTTCCAAGCCCACTGCAGACGGATATTATTCTTTTTTAACTTTCCCTTCTAGGCTCCCCTCAAGGTTTTAATACGCTTCCTCTAGAGAGAGGTTTTCACACCCTTTTAAGGAATGCGTCGTTCCTTTTTCTAACCGACGTGTTGAATCACAAAAAAAAATATCTGTGTCTGGTTTTGGGTTTTCTTTAAATCTTTTATAACATGACATTGCATTATTAAAAATACTGAGTTGATTTCAACTTCATGAATGTAAGAACTGAGAAAAAGTTGTGAATAAGGTAATGGATTGGATGAAGGAGATTCTATGGCTCAAGATATAATGCAGACAACAAGTGCAGCTGAAGCTCCAGTTCCTTTCACTGGTTCTGATATTCAAGAAGAAAAAGTAGAAAACAAAAGAAGAAAAGAGAAAGAATCTAGGAGGAAAGCGAAGAAGAAGATCGTTTTCGATTCACCTGTAAGTTATTTCTGGCATTTGTTGCATTTGTTTGTCAATTCTGTTGATGATTAGAACTGGATTGGTGTGATAATGTGTGGTTCGATTGAAGAAACTCATAAAATGTCTATGGGATGGTGGTGGTTGATTCAGGGAAGTGGTGTTGGTGTGCGTGCAAGGCAAAGGGAGGAGAAAAAGTGTATGATATCTCCAGAATGTTTGAGTTATGGGCGATCACGATCAGGTGAGAATGATAAGAACAAAGTTGAGGCTAATGCCGATGGGTTGTTGTTTGTTTTGTTTTGGCCAATGGATTTGAATTCATGGATTCAGGGCGATTACTTCTGCCCACCATGGAGTTTTGGCGCAACCAGCTGCCTGTCTACGACTCGGTAACTTTTTTATTTATTTAATTTGCAAACTAATTGAAATATTAATGAAAATATCTCTGCACTCTCAAAGTTTGAATACTAAAGATATTATTATTATTATTATTAATTTGTAATATAGGATCGAAAGTTACGAGGAATCCAGGAAGACTTGCCAGACATACAGCCACCACAACAATCACAGCCAAGAGGTTTGCTTATTATTATTATTTTTTAAAAATTAGTTAATTAATTTAGAATATAAAATAAAACAAAGTTGGATGGTGTGCAGGCAGCAAGAGCGGTGGTGGAAGGAAGCGGTAAAAGTTTAGAGTGGTTTTGGTAATATTCCTTTCTTACCATTCAATTCCCCCAACTGTTATGTAAATACAAATAATTAGAGAGCCCTCTGTTTTGCATTTCATGAATACTCTCACTTAATTCCACTTTAATTTAGAATTGGGTATTTATTGATTGATTGATTGATTGATTAATTAGCTCGTCACGATTATATTAGGCTGCATGATCAACTCCACAAACCTAGAATTAGAAATTACTACTCCAAAATAGTTTTGAAATGAGATAGGTCAAAAGTAGTACGGCAACATGAAACAACTGATGTATCCTAGCGTGAACAAGGTCAATTATTCAAAATTAAAGAACACCAAAGTTTTCAATCCAATGATGCTACGAAAGAGAACAACTCGTGTTCATGTAAGCAAACAACATCACAAAATCCTTACAAATTTGAGAAATACTGACAAGTACCGACAAGACTTGCTTCAAATGGCTTGAAAACTAACCGCAGCATCTGTTATTTTGTACAAATAAAAACATCACATTCTGCAATGCCACCAATTCCCCTCCAAGGATTCACCTGCAGCAGGCAGTGCATTAACTTGTCAAGCACATTCCTATGTTACATACCAACAATCGCCACAAAAGGGAAAGGAATAGAGAAGAAAAAAAATGAAAATCCGAATATATCTCTCCGCTGGAGAAAGTCAATAATACAAAATTACTGGAACATGAACATGAACATAAACAAGAGATATGAGTGCACAATAACATCTAGAGAAAAATCAATCACTCCACAAACATTGGAACGTATGTGAAGGAAAGAATCGCAATAACTCCAAATAACTTTCAGATTATCGTCAAAATGGAGTTACCCTCTTTTCATTTCTCTCTACAGATGATTTCGGGTTATATATGATGGATTTTCAACCTCTCTCTAGAATACCCTTCCAATCAAATACTGGAATATCAACAATTATACTCCAAAACAATGCAACCACGATGATTATATATCAATGGCCATTAGTGAGAAATAAGCAAGGAATACATGCACAAAAACAATTTATGACTACCACATTCAAGTAAATATAAAACCCCCATTTCAGAAAACAGAAAACCAATAATAAATGCACAATTCTCTTTAACGGATTCGTGACTTTTCAGACTAAAACCAGAAATCCACAGACAAATTGAAACTGTATCAGACAATAGATTTAATTCCTAAGCAAATCCAAGGTGCGGGATGTGAGATTGAGTCTGAATCAGTAAATTTAGGGTTCCGAGACAATACCGATTGTGCCTCTGCACGAATGGAGAGTTCTTCACCTCTTCCTCTGAAAATTAATCGAACAAGTAATCAATACAGAAAGAATCGAAGGAGTCAAATTAAACCTAAAAACGAAGGAAACAAGAAGAAATAACAAGAAATAATGGCAATCTATCGTCATACCAGAAAATCCGGCGGTCATCTTGGTAATAAGGGTTCCAGTTATGGCGAAACCAACAAGGAACGGCCAATTCCTCTTCCATTCTCGCCTGAAAAACACCGGCCATGGATCGAACTGCCTCATCTTCCTTCGACTGTCTGCGTTCGTTCGTCTCGATTCCCTTTCACAAGTGAAAATGGGGACCAGTAAGCTCAGATCTTGTTTGGTTATATGGAGACGACTCAGAATCTCGGCCCACATAAATCCAATAGACATGCCGTCAAGCCCACAAAATTTATCCATAACTGGGCCAAGCCCAATCCCATTAACACAACTATTTTAAATAAAAATAAAAATTTATTTTAGTTCCCGGTTCGAATCTACATGACGCCATTTTTAAGTGTTTACTTATTTAAATAAATTTTCCCTGGATAATTTCTATTTTTATCCATTTTTTGATATAATTTTGATTAAAAATGTAGAATATCTTAATTAATTGAATAATATTTCATAAGTAAAAGGACAATATAATGTTTTACTAACATCATTTTTAAAAATTCAAATTTTCATATTTCAACCCGCGATAGATATGAAATATAATCTTCATATTTGGTCACATTTAATTAATACGGAGTAATCTTTTCTCGCTCCCTCTATATTTCCCACGTGTTAAGTGGAAATCTCTAAAGTTGGTGTAACTCGATAACATAATCATAATAGTTCGTGATTCAACTAAGAATAATAAATATTATTGTCGATAAATACCGGGGTATGCAAGATTTTTTTATATTAAAGTACAAAGTAGTGCTCAAAATTCCACATAAAAACAAAAAAAAAAACAAATCAATTTTAATTAATTGGACAAAAAATTATTAAAAAAATACAAAATTATGGAATTTATATTAAACTTTGAAGATAACGAGAGATGAGGTTACAATTTGTAAAATTTAAAAATCATGAGTCAATTAAAAAACGTTAATAATATCTCTAAAATCCATTATCCTCAATTAGTTTAACTAATTATTTCTTAATCATCATTTTCAATCTTGATTTGGTATCTTAATCTTACTTTGGTAGGTTAATTAATTGGCCTTTCCTACACACTCACGTTTCTAAAGATTCAGACAAATAATAAAACATTAAATCGATAAATTCTAAATCCAGCTCAAACAGAAACCATATTTTTTAATAAATAACGTGATATATTTAAAAAATAATTCTTTTCTAATTTTTTAACAAAATAAAAAATACTTTTTGATTTTTAAAATTAAAAATCCTTTTTTTCTCTTCCCCCTTCTCCATCTCCAAAAATGTCACTTTTAGGGGTAAAAGTGTAATTTTATTTATTTATTTTTAAAAAATATTTTAGAAAAAATGGTCGTTAGGTGTTATACCAATTAAAGTCATAAATAACCAACAAAATTTAAAATTTAAAATTCAAAAAATTTAGGAAATTGTAATAATTTTCATTAGTAACTTGTTTGAATTAAATTGTATTGTACATATGAGCCACACGTTTAATTGTCAAAGACACGTGTTGGCTTGTTTGATAGTCGAGTCAAATAAGGTGATCTAACTAAGAATAAAGCACGACCATATTAATATTTCCAAAATTTTATTTAAAGTCAAATTTAAAAATTAATAATATATAAATTAATAGTCGATTTTGAATTTATTCGACATCCTAATTTTTATCTTTAAAATAATTTAATTCTCATTGTCCTTGAAAAAGATATATATATATATTTTATAAAAAAGAAAAAAGAAAAAGATGTGTTGTTTTATAATTAAAAAAAAAAAAAAAAAAAAATCACATGGCATGAGTCACGTGTGGTCTTTTGAAGTGGTTGCTTTAGCTCACAGACACCTTGCAGCTGCCTTCTTCATTATTGGAACGAAATTAAGACTTTGACTTTCTAACTCACGTGGTCGTGCAAATTTTAGAAACTTTCAAAGCCACCACAATTTTAATATAAATAAATAAATAAATAATTTAAAGCTTTATTATTTATATTCCTAAATATAAAATTAAATTTTAGATTATATCCATTAAAATGAACTTTAACCTTTCATAATTGAATTGATTTAGATTATTTGATAGTTGCGAAAAATAAAAAATAAATAAAAATAATAATTTATTCAATTATTATATTTTAAAAAGTTAGATTATCCTTAATTTTAGGAAAGGTACTTACTTTGTCTCTTAGGACTCACACATTGTACATACTAACTTTACAGCCAATAAAGCAAGTTGGAGGAACAGTGTTTAAAAAGTTTGAAGAAATTAAGAAAATCCTCTTATCCACGACACGACACGACACGACACGACACGTATTGTTAATTTAACAAGATATATAAGACTATTTTTTTCACGAATTGCTGCAGCAACCATATCAAAGTAAGTATGGTCAATTCTACCGAAAGAGTTTCGAGGAGATTCAAAAGTCATAACAGTAAAATTGCAATCTCTAAGACATGATTTTGAAACTCTGCTCAGGGCGAATAGCGAATCAATTGCTGACTTTTTGTCAAGAACAATGACAATAGTCAGCAGAAAATTTTAGATGAAACAATTGTTGTAAAGGTGTTGAGAAGCTTAACTCTAAAGTTTGATCATATGGTGACTGCCATAAAATAAGCTAAGGATCTATCAATACTCTTCGTTGATGAACTGATGAGTTCGCTTCAAGCTCATGAGTAAGATCACCAGAGAAAGGAATGGAGTGAGAAAACAATAATAAAGCAATGCAGCTTTGATTGCTTCTCACCTTTTCAGAGACTATCAATATCTACAGGGTGTACTTTATTTTTCGGTGGCTCACTCATTATAACTCAAAAGTTAAGTGTCCTTAGCTTAGAACAATGTTACGTTGGGTTACATATTAAAAATGTTCATGTTGTAGGAGATGCAAGAGAATCTCAGGAATATCAAACGTCGAATTCAAATTCTAAATCCTTATATGAATTATGGACTTGAGGCGTTACAAATGGTATTAGAGTGGAATCCCTTCCAGTACGATGTGGCTCTTAAGAACAAATACAATCGTGTTATAAGAGATACCGAGACGTTACAGTCTTTTAACTCAACTTTTGCATAGTTCTCGTGATAATAAAAATGCAGTCAAGGTTCTCTTTCAATGCACATGCATGTGAACTCTTTCCTCTACTCATCCCTTTTACAAAAAGAAAATAATTTTTTAATTAATTAATTTGAGCCCTAAACATATAAAATAATTATTAAAAAAAATATTGATCTATTATTATGAACATCTATTTGTTTTTTTGTTAAAATAAAATATATATTTTAAAAGTTTAAAGGTCTAAATAAAATAATTTAAGAATTTAAGAAAAAAAAAACCATAAAACTAATTTTTATTTATCCTTAAAACTCAAATTTCTTATTGAGGAGGAAGTTGATTTTTTTTTTTTTTTATAAATATTTTAATTATATAAACTAGTAAATAATAGTAATATATTTATATTAAATAAATCACGAAAATTAAATCATACATTTATTTACAATTAAAGTAAGCATTAACATATTTCAATAAATTAAAGTTGATGTAGGAAATTAATTTTTTAATTATGGGTTAACCTTATCTTGATTTAATTTAATTTCATAACCATCCTAGTCATCACACCTTATCTACTTCAAGCTCATTAGAAACTTGGTACATTTGCTTTTGTAATAGGCATGATTTATTAGCCTACCAATATTTATTTTACTTACCTCATCTTTTACATCACGTGACCATGACCCGTTAGGTTGATAAAATTTCTAAATCTATGTAATTTTAAAAATTATGTTGTATAATAGATTTTCAAACTTTAAAAATGTTTTTTTTTAGGTTCATTAGATCCGTGAATTGTAAAAAAAAAAAAAATATCAAATTGCTAAGTCAGTTACTCTAAACATAAAAAAAAAAAAAAAAAAAAAAAATTGAGAGACCTATTAGATACAAAGTTAAAAGTTTAAGAAACAGTTCGATATTTTCGAAAATTCAAAAGTTAAACCAATAGAAATCTAAAAGTTTTTATAGAGACGGGTAACTAAATAAATATAAATTTAATAAAATTTTAAATATGTATAGATAAATAGGGCTTCCACTCAAGAAGTTTAGAACACTTATACTGCTGGAGGTTTACATACCCATATAAACAATACTTCCTTCCCCTCTCTAGCTGAGGTCTAATCTATCCCTTAAGGAGACAATATCCTAACAACCTATGAGATCTCACAATCTATTTCCTTTAGGTCATAATTTGTAATGGTTTCTCTCTCCATTTAATATGGAATCTTACCGAGTGTTTGTTAGCACAAAGGAGCAAAGGTCATTTTGGTTCGGGGATAAAGGGGCACATAACAAAAATTAAAAACAAAAATAAAATTGAAAATTTTCAAAATTCAAAATTAGGAAGAAAAAAAAGGGTACTAAAATGGTAATTTAGCTATAAAATAAGTAACAGCCAAACCCAATTGAAGTAGGAAGGAGATAGGGAGGTGCATTTAAGGTATTTTGGGTTTGAAGCTGTTCTATAAGTAGCTATCCATTTCAGACTACCATTCTCTTAGCGTTTGAATTTCCAAAATTTAATTCTTAAAAAGAAAAAAAAAAAAGAAAAGAAGATTCGCAGAGCCCAGAAACACGATGAGCGTGAACATAACCTCCATCAAAATCGCCTCAAATGGCGTCTGGCAAGGCGACAACCCCCTGCACTTCGCTTTCCCTCTCTTAATCCTTCAGTCCGTCCTCATTCTCCTCCTCTCCCGCCTACTCGCTCTCCTCCTCAAACCTCTCCGGCAGCCCAAAGTCATCGCCGAAATCGTCGTAAGTTCTTCTCCAATGCTCTGTTTCTGCAACTCTTTTGATTTCGTTAATGGGTTCTTTTAATTTTTTAATTTCAGGGTGGGATTCTTCTGGGTCCGTCGGCGCTCGGCCGAAACAAAGCTTATTTGCACCGGATTTTCCCTCAATGGAGCACTCCGATTCTCGAATCCGTTGCCAGCATCGGTTTATTGTTCTTCCTGTTCCTCGTCGGACTCGAACTCGATTTGTCCTCCATTCGTCGGAGCGGTCGGAGGGCTTTCGGAATCGCCCTCGCTGGAATCTCTGTCCCCTTCCTCTCCGGTATCGGAGTAGCCTTCATCCTCCGCAAAACCGTAGACGGCGTTGACAAAGTCGGCTATGGTCAATTCATTGTATTCATGGGTGTCGCCTTGTCCATCACTGCCTTCCCTGTTCTTGCTCGCATTTTAGCTGAGCTTAAGCTCCTCACTACCCAAGTCGGCGAAACCGCCATGGCTGCTGCTGCGTTCAACGACATCGCCGCTTGGATTCTCCTCGCACTTGCGGTGGCTCTCGCCGGTAACGGCGAAGGTGGGGCCCAAAAGAGTCCGTTGGTGTCCGTGTGGGTCCTACTTTCCGGAGGTGGGTATGTCGTTTTCATGATGGTGGTTATTCGTCCCGGAATGAAATGGGTTGTGCGGCGGTGTTCGTACGAGCACGATGCTCTGGGCGACGCGTATATCTGTTTGACGTTAGTGGGGGTGTTGGTGTCGGGATTCGTGACGGATTTGATCGGAATTCATTCGATTTTTGGGGGTTTTGTGTTTGGATTAACGATTCCGAAAGGGGGAAGGTTTGCGGAGAGATTGATTGAGAGGATTGAAGATTTTGTGTCGGGTCTTCTTCTTCCTCTGTATTTTGCTTCCAGTGGATTGAAGACGGACGTGGCTAAGATTAAAGGGGGCAGAGCGTGGGGGCTGCTGGCGTTAGTTATCTCCACTGCGTGCGCCGGTAAGATTCTGGCCACATTTGTGGCGGCGATGGCGTTTCTGATCCCGGCGAGAGAGGCGTTGGCGTTGGGGCTTCTTATGAACACTAAAGGCCTGGTTGAATTGATTGTTCTCAATATTGGCAAAGAGAAAAAGGTTAGTTTGAAAAAAAATAATTTAATAAAAAATTTTACGAATCAGAAAGAAACGTCACAATGGTATGATATTAATCGGAGGCTCAATTCCTTTATCTTGAGCACTCTTTATAAGGCTTGACTCATTTATCTAGAGCCGGTACACTATTTGTAAGGCTAGACACTTTTTATGGAGCCCTCAAACAAATTACACCATTTGTGAGGCTCGTCTCCTTCTTCAAAATCTTTGAACAAAGTATATTACTATACTTTGTGAGAAAACAGCTAATAATAATTAATGGATTAAACACACAGGTTTTGAACGACGAAATCTTCGCCATTTTAGTGTTAATGGCACTGTTCACAACATTCATCACTACCCCCACCGTGATGGCGGTTTACAAGCCAGCACGCGGCGGCTCCACCTCGCGAACCCATCGGAAACTCCATGACCTCTCGGCCGACGACGAGCTTCGGATCCTAGCCTGTCTCCACAGCTCTGGCAATGTGCCGTCCCTCATGGGTCTGACCGAAGCAACTCGCAGCACAAAAAACTCGTCACTCAAACTCTTCGTGATGCACCTGGTCGAGCTCACCGAGCGGTCTTCGTCCATCATGATGGTCCAACGCGCCCGCAAAAACGGCTTTCCTTTCTTCGCCAGGTTCCGGAAGGCCGGTGAGTGGCGCGACCAGATGGCTGCTGCCTTTCAGGCCTACAGCCAACTGGGTCGGGTTAAGGTCCGCCCCACTACCGCTGTCTCTTCCTTGGCCACTATGCATGAGGATATCTGCCACGTGGCGAACGAGAAGAGGGTCACGATGATCATCTTGCCATTCCATCGGAATTGGAGGGTATTTGACGGCGACGGCAAGGAAGAGGAGGAGAATGTGGGCCATGGCTGGAGAGTTGTGAACCAACGGGTTCTGAAGAATGCGCCTTGCTCCGTGGCGGTTCTTGTGGACCGTGGATTTGGGGCCAATACGGTTCATACGTTTGGGCCTGGGCCCATTGTTGGTGTGGCCCAAAGGGTTTGTATCGTGTTTTTTGGTGGGCCCGATGACCGGGAGGCGCTGGAGTTGGGTGGCCTGATGGCGGAGCATCCGGCGGTGAAGGTCACGGTGGTAAGGTTCCGGCCGTCGCCATCGAATGGGTTTGAGGGTAGCAACGTCATTTTGCGCCCCATGCATTCCAAATCTGGCGACAACCATTATAGCTTCTCCACAGCTCCAATCAACCGGGAAAAAGAAAAGGTACATTTTTATTTCTTCAAAAAATATATATATAAAAGCACTTAAAAAGTCATTTCAAACTCATACATTAACGTAAATGTTATGAATTGGTAAGCAGGAGCTAGATGATGTAGCACTAACGGAATTCAGAAGCAAATGGGATGCAACAGTTGAGTTCACAGAGAAGGAGGCCAGCAACACGAACATGATAGTCGAAGGGGTGGTGGCCATCGGAAAGGAAGGTGGTTACGACCTAGTTGTGGTCGGGAAGGGTCGGGTTCCCTCCAGCATGGTGGTGAAACTAGCGGACCGACCGGCCGAGCACGCAGAGTTGGGGCCAGTAGGGGACATACTAGCCAGCTCTGGTAGGGGAATAGTATCATCAATACTAGTAATTCAACAACATGGAGGAGGTGGTCATGCAGAAGAAGCTCCGGTTTTGAAGATAGCAGAATCGAGTAAGAATGAACAGCCTTTGGCAACCGATGGAGCTTCAACTAATGTATAATATCATAAGTGTCTTCAACTTTGTTACATTATATTTGGAAGTTAATTGTATCGGTTTGTTCTTCCTTTGATAGAAAAGATAACATATTATTATTTCAATCTCTTTGTATACGTAATTTTGAAAAAGGTGTGTAAACCACTCTCTCATATACGTATTTTAAAACCTTGAAGAATAGTTCTTGAAAGAAAAGTCCAAAAATGACAATATTTGCTAGCGGTGAGCTTGGACTATTACAAATAGTAAAGAGTTTTGGGCAATATTCCACTTGTGCTGTTATAGACAGTAAAGAGCTAAACATGCATGCTAAGCCCCCTAAGATTGTGGCCTAAAATTGTGGAAACTTATAGATAGCTAAACACCAAGCATGCTGAGCCCCCTAAGATTGTGGAAACCTCCTACTCTTTTAAAACCTTACAGGAAAGCTAAAAAAGAACAATAAGGCTTAAACGGTTACAAATGTATATAGCTAGATACCAGGCGGTTGCCAACGAGGCCGTTGGGCCCCCTAAGGGTGTGAAAACCTCGACACGTTTTAAAACCTTGCGGGAAACCCCAAAAAGAACAATAGGACTTGGACATTTACAAATGGTATAAAGTTAGACATCGTGCGGTGTGGCCACTAAGCTCCCTAAGAGTGTGGAAATCTCTTCCCAAGAGACGCATTTTAAAACTTTGGGAGAAACCCAAAAAGAACAAGGGGTTACTTTCTTGACTGTCTGAGTCTCTAATAATCTCATCATGTTTTTAGTTCTAGTTCATACAAATTACAACACTTCATTCTCATCTTCCACGATACGTTTTTATGGGGTACAGGTCCTCCAAGATACCTCCAAGAGTGGACAATGCATCATGAAATTTTCTGATTTTAAGGTAACCCCTTATCCTCGAAATCTCACTCTTTGAGAATCTAGCTTCCTCCATTATCATATCCACAAGCTTTACAAGGGTGTCCTCCATCGCTAAACTACACAGACCTTCAGCCAACATAACAAATGATGAGAATTCAGGTATATTACCTTTCTCTATAATCTCGATCGTGAAGTCCACGGCTTCCCCGATCGACCCTCCGCCATTGCAGAGACCACGATAAACAATCTTATACGTTAATGAATCTGGAGGATCAGCCTTCTCTAACATCTCTCTGACAAGTCTCATGGCTTCATGAGTTCTGTTCCGCTTGAACAATGCTTGGATAACAGGATTATAGGCTTGTGGTGTAAGAACCATCCCTTTCATCTGAATTGATCGGAGAAGCCGACTCGCAACCTGAAGTCTTCCTGCCTTACAGAGACCACTAATAAGGGTCCCGTACGTGACGATGTCGGGATTACATCCACTTAAGGTCATGGTTTCAACTATATCTGATGCCTTTTGAATGTCCCCAGTCTTGCAAAAGTGAGTGAGGAATGAATTGTAGGTGAATTTATCAAGCTTCAAGCCCTCCATTATCATTTGGTCCATTAAATGAGCAGCATCCGCCATCCTCCTGCTTTTACAAAGACCATCAATAAGAGTGTTGTAGGTCACTGAATTCCTAGAAATCCCTTGAAGTTCCATCTCATCAAATATCTCCTCTGCTTCTTCAATCCTCTTGTTCTTACAAAACCCATCAATTAATGTATTATAGATAACGACATTATGTGCACAGCCACTCGACTCCATTTCTTTTAAAAGTTTTAAAGCTTCCTCCGGTTTGCCACTCGAACAAAGACTGTCAATCAACATATTGTACGTAAGCTCATCTGGTTGAGATCCTTTACCCTTCATTTCCTCGAAAAGCTCCATAGCATTCCTGTGATTGTTAGACAAGCAGAGACCCTGTATCAAAAAATTGAATGTACAAACATCTGGTAAAACTCCCTTTCTCGAGAGAAAACAAGCTATTTCCGTGGCCTCTTCAACTCGTTTCGTCTTACACAATGAGCTAATTATAGTATTGTAGGTGACAGCATTTGGGGAGCAGTCCCTTGAAACCATATGATCCAGAATCTTAGCAGCCTCATCAATTTCACCTAGCTTACACAGTCCAGAAATCAGAGAGTTGTATGTATATGTATCAGGATCAAATCCTCCTAAAAGCATTGCATCTACGACTTCCATTGCGTGCTTAGCACAACCCACCTTGCACAAACCATTCACGAGAGTATTATATGTAAACTGGTCGGGACGAAATCCTTCATTTTCAGATTCTTGAATAAAACTCAAGGCTTGATCAATTCTACCCTGTTTGCAGAACCCATTAATCAAGACATTAACAGTGATATCAGTACAGAGGCACCCATATTCTACCATATGTTCTTTAATTCTCAGTGCACCATCCAAATTTCCCTCTTCAATGAACCCCTGCATTATAGTTGTGAATGTGGTCTCATCAGGAGACAAGCCATAACTCGGCATCTCTTCCATCATCAAAATGGCAGGCCTAACCTGATGAGCCTTGCAAAGGGCTTTTATCAAAATATTAAACGTTGAAATATCATGCCTAATTCGTCTTCTAACCATGCTAGAATGCGCAGATTCCACAAGTTTAAGCTTGCTGCCATCCACAAGAACATTCAACAATACATTATAGAAACAGGTATCTGGTTTTATCCTATATTCATCCTCCATTTCTTTAACAATACCCATAACTTCATCATACAGCTCAAATTTTGCATAACTCTTAACAAAAATCAAGAAAATACCTCTATCCACCTCACAGCCAATGAGCTTCATTTCCTCCAAGACGCACCTCATGTACTCGAATGATCCTGCCTTTCCAAGCTTGCGAAGAATCTCCTTGTAGAACGACGAACTAGGCACGAAGTTGGGCTGCTTCGAAGCCCAATTGAATACGCGAAGGGCCGCCACTTCATCCCTCTGGCGACGAAGGGTCTCGATAAGCTGCTTCGGAGTGAAATCAGGAGGAAGATGATGAACATTTGGTGAACATGAAACACTATTGGACGAAGAAGTGGAGGCGAGGTGATCAGAAACTGACGCAGAAAAGAAGATGGAGGAATTGGAGATGGGTTTAGAGGAAAAAGAGAGGGGAGCGTGCGGGAGAGGCCATGGATAACACTTAACACAAGTGAAAGCCATTGGGTCAAATTTTGAGGAGGTTCGCCGTTACCGTGAAGATGCCGGAGAGCTATCGAACCCTCGCCGGCGAAGACGAAGTGGGTCTCTCAGGGAAGATGATACTGCGAATCTGTGATGGAACTGCTTGATCCGGTTGAATTCCCGAATGATTTTTAGGTTAAATATCCCACTTTATTTTTAAAGAATTCATTAGAAAATATATTATTTATGAAATCTAATTATTTATGAAATAAATGTGAGATGTTATATATATATTATATCTTAATCTTTTATTTATGAGTATATTTTATTTTATTTTTAATATTTAATTAGTTTAATATCCTATTTAAAGCATATGAATATCAGAATACACATTTCTTGATTCTGATTCCAATTCTATTGTTCATTCATAACAGAATGTTAAACGATTTATGTCAATTTTTTTACGACAAAAATTAAGTAATTTTTAGACTTTCGAACTCGATAGGGCATCAGTCATGTAACTAACAGCCAAAGCCTACGTTAATAGATATTGTCCTTTGTGAGCTTTTCTTTTTGGACTCACTCGAGGTTTTAAAACGTGTTCACACTAAAGAGAGTCCATTGTTCTCTATAGGTTTTCCCTTCTAACTTACCCTCAAGATTTTAAAATGTGTTTACTATGGACTCTCAAGATTTTAAAACGTGTCCACTATGGAGAGAGTCTAGCTTTACTTAGACCAGAGTCTCGCATTGTCAGATGACCAACTTTGATACCATTTATAATCGTCCAAGCCCAATGCTAGAAGATATGGTTTTCTTTGGGCTTTCCCGCCCTACTCCGACTAGGGTCTCTTTGATTTTTGAAACAAAATAGTGAAACTTACACATGAAAGTAGTAGTGTTGATTCAGAAAACCAAATAGTCATCCAACCAGACCTAAATCACTTCCAACTAGCACAAATGCAGCAAGAACGAACGCGAACGCGAACGCAGGCACCCGAGCATTAGAACAAAGAATCAAGCAATCAATTTCTACCAACTTACAAAGAAAACAACAATAAACCCAAAAGTAAAGAGGATAATGTTGGGTTAAGGAAAGAATGTAAAGCCAGCAATCCAAACAAAAACTGAAAAAAACAAAGATGAAATTAGCATAAGGTCTCAGCTAACCCCTCACAAGCTATTAGCTTCATAGGTATCAGACTCTAAATGGTCACTCAAGACAGAAGGTTTTGCATAACAAGTTAAAAGACATACCAGATGACACACAGATTCATACTTGTTCAAGTAGAACAGAAGATTTCCAGTGAAATCTTTAAACATTTCGATTCGTTTTTGAAGGCTTATATTCCAGCACGGCTTCGAATTACGTCGAGACCCATCTCGGTCGGATCGGTTGCTTGCAGCTCCACTTGTATTCCATCAAGCTCTCTCTTAAATCTGTCCTTGGAGCTTGCATAGATCATCTTGCTTCTGACTCTTGAATTATCAGGAGACCTTCATTTAACAATTCAATCAGTGATAAGATGAAGTATGCAATCATTGAATGGTTAAGAATTGTCATTACCATGCAATGAAGAAGATTCTGCTTTTTTGGCAATTTTCTTCCGTGACAAAGTCGAAATCATAGACAGCATAACGACACTCATCGGTAGGAAGACTAGCAGCAAAATCCTCGTAACTTTGGCTAGGCCCACCAAGTTTCTCCACAACTACTTGCTTTAGCTTCTCCTCGATCTTAAAGATAATGAAACGATGAGTTCTTTTTGTCTTGAGCTCTAGAAACTTTAACTTGCATTCATCATTCACAGCCATTCCTGATGCTGCATTGGCCTACCAGATTCATGAAAGTATATTTTTATGAACATATTTTGGGTTGTAAGAACTAAGCTAAGTTTGTAATATTTGATCACCTTTTAAAGTATCCTCTAACTTGAAGACAAGATTTTGCAATAAAAGAGAAGGTTGACTGTCACACAAAACACACACATTCATGTAACAATTCTAACTCAAGCCCACCCATTACCTATAGGTAAGAAGATTGATTGACACTCAAAACACACTAGCAACAACTTCAGCCCACTGCTAGTAGATATTATCCGGTTTAGCCCGTTACGCATAGAAGGTTGATTGACACCCAAAACACATACACTTCATGTAACAACTCAAGCCCACCGCCAATAGATATTATCCGCTTTAGCCCATTACATATCGCAATACATAAGGGTGTGGATTGTGATAGGTTAGAAAGGGAAAGAAAGCATTCTTATAAGAGTGTGGAAACCTTTCCCTAACAAGACTGACAAAAATATGTAACGAGTCAAAACAGAGAATATCTACTGAGTGCTCATTGCAACAACAAAACTCCATACAACTTTGAAAGGAGGATTGAATCTAAAGGGGGGAGGGGAGAAGTAAAATACTAAAAGGAGGACCCCTGTTCATCACAAGAGATAATTTAGATAAGAGCAATGGATACAGAACCAGATGGAAATTCTCTAGCTCGACCGATCATAAAACTAAACCATCCAATAGTTACAAACATAAAATCATTCCAACACAAACCAGATCATATCCCAAGATCTCAGAACAAAACATTACACACCAAAACAATTCATGAACTATTATTATAAATCAACCCAATCCAAACACATTCAAATAATTCCAGTCAAGTCAGAACCACAGATCAAACACCAAATAGAACCAAAAGAGAAGCTAATCAACAAAACCACATTTCCCAGAAACCCATTCCAGCAATTTCCCAGAACTTCCCCAGAAACAGAACAGGTCATTTAATCAAACACTTGGGAAGCCAAAAATGAAGCAAATGAATCGAAGTGTTACCATTTTCTCTCCTTGGATGCTTGCGGAAGAACTCAAACAACAGTGAAATCGAAGAATGAAGAGAAGAGAGGAATGAATGAGTGAATGCGGGGGAAAGGTTATATTGGGTGGTTGGGAATGGTAATTATGGTGGGCAGTGATTCAAATAACAGAGGAGCGTATCGTGTTGGTGTAAACTGCAAAAACCCTGTTGGAAACGATGATGAGCTTCTCTTCCTTTTCTTGAAGTCGGCTCCAAGAAAAAGCCAGGTTAAACTTCAACTTCACAACCTTTTCTATTTTTTTTTTTTTTTAATTTTTAGGTCCCTTAAATTTTAAATAATAAATAATACAACCTCAAACTTTTTTTTTTAATCTAATATATCTCTAAATTTATTTATTTTTAATAAGTTCAAATTTTATGTTTAGTAAAATTTTAAATTTTAATTATGTGTTTAATAAGAGCCTAATTTTTTAAAATGTAATTAGTAAAAAAATCTATAGATACAAATTTAAAAATTCAATATAAATTATATTAAATATTTTAAAAAAAATTCAAGAATTTATAAACACATTATTGAAAGTTTATGGAGAATTATTAGATATTTCTTTAAAAAAAATTAGAACAAAGATTTAAATTAGAAAAAATAAAATTGAGAAGAATTAAAATTAAAATTAAATTATGAGTTTAATCTTTAAAAAAAATTAAAATTTTAAATTTTACGTCTATTAATTTATATGAAATAACAATTAAATATAAAAATTTTAAAAAATCATAAACTACCAAATTAATTAAGATTTATAAATATAATTAGTAGACTCGTGAATATTAAGAATATCAAATATGATTTATTAAAAATATAAAATTGAAAGTTTTGAAATTTATTAGTATGAAATTATTTATATCAAAATTGAAAAAATTAAAGAAATAATAGATATTTTTTAAAATTCACGCACTAAATAATTATAACTGTAATTTAATTAAAAAAGTATATATTTTGGTCTTCGTATAATTTTGTGGTATATATATTATTCGGCGGCTGAGCCAATTGAGCAGTGGCTCAGGCGCCGGTTTAGATATTTATTGGGCGTTGACAATATTAAGAAGTTTTGGATACTTTCTGTCGACTCCAACCTTTATTTAATTAATTTGTTTGAGAATTTTGAAAAATATAATTTAATAAATTCAGTGGGCCCACTCCCGCTCTATCGCCGCGTCAAACTAACGCTATCCCCTATTATTAAATATTATATATCTAAATTATCAAAATATATTGTCATTTTAAATTTTAAATTTTAAAATTTGTTTCAAAATAAAACAAATTTATAGGCAGAAAATTTAGATTTGATTACACATATATGAAATAAACAAGTGTGATTGATACATGGGTTAGTTTACAAACATATATGTCTGAATAAGTTAAAATAGTTAGATGTGTCTCTAGACATGGAATAACATCTGGAAGCGAAACGATGTTATATTGTTGAAAATCGAGATGATAATGAGATGCGACGTTGCGTCGCGACGGTTAAATACGCACGAATAACGTGTGTGACCGAACAACCTTTGATTTTGCATAGACGATGTTCGATTGGCGAATACAAACCTTGCCTATGGTCCAACGTAGCCACAAAGCTGGGCGAAAAATGAACATGAAGCTTGAATTCTTCTAAAGCTAGTCTATACGGTTGAAGATTGATAACTTTCAAAGTAATATAAAATCTTTTTGTAGTTAATGTTGTAATTAGTTAGCATGAAATTGGTCCAAGAAAAGAATATAATTTGACATAAATCGATCTTAATTGTACATCTAATTGAGTTATGTGACAAAATTTCAGACATTATTTCAAACATTTATGTTGAACCATGATGGAGTAGCAAATTTGAAACAAATAGGGATGACATGAAAATTTTAAATCCAAATCAACCGTCTAAGTGTGTCATTGACTATCCAATATAAACATCTTATGTGAACTAACTTATTCTTTTCAGCTCAGGTTCAATATAAAAGGAAAAAGAAGACTAAGAAGGGGAGCCACACTTTGGGAGAGAAAAATCGGATTAGACAGCAGAGCCTCTCAGTTGCTTTGAAGCTGTGAAACCTGAGAAGAAAAAGAAAAACCCTAATCCAGCCACTGTTGACGGCAGAAGGAAGAGAAGACCAAGAATGATAGATTAGGGCAAAGAGGTGGACGTGAGAGTTCAAGGGAACGGAACTGAACAACAACAATGTTGGATAACTCTCTATTCCCTTCCTCTTTTTTCTTATTCTATCAATTTTATATGATTAAGATGTGGGTTCTTCTGATTAATTCGGTTTATTTGAAAAGAACTTTATAGGAGAGACGAGAGAGTTTTATATAGTTTAAGTA